TTAGCCCAGCTGATCGGGGTCAGTTAGAATAGTGGAACACAGGAATTTACTTGAATATAGAATGACAATAGGGTGAGACAAAGCCACTGTAGAGAGACTGGTTACTGAATCTTTGTTCATTGAATCAACACTCAACATATGTAATCGAAATGACACAACACCTATGCCAGAGATATGGAAAATTTTACTACCAGTAAAACCAAGTCATACGAGATGACGTAACTATAAGAATCGAATGTCGAAAGTTGTGCGATTACATTGATATGATTATGAGCAATAACTTATGCTCGAAACGTCATGAAGTAAACAATACTATATCACTGTGTTATAAATCAAATAAACAAACCTAATATGGAATTGAGTTCTGGTGATTATTTATTGTCTCAAGATGTCTAGTGGTTATGTTAGACCACTGGGATGAAATGATTCTTTTGTGTCATGTGAATGCCACGCTGCTTGAGGCTTGTTGGACTTTGTAGAGGCCAAATAAGAGTAATTCATTATTCCTTTTCTTAACTGGTTTCGTAGGAGGTTTGTCATATGTATACAGCATTACAGTTTACGTGTTTCAATTTATTATCATGATTGGTTGTTCAATTTTAAGGATTTAGTCTATTACGTGAACTAAGATGTAGTGTATTACTTTTGTTTTCCTATAGAACACTTACATTTTATTTGTTCAACCTCATGTTGTCTGTGTTGTGTAACTTGCGGGAGATGATTAGTGTTATCACCGGTGAGTTTCGGTCTTACTTAATGTCATGTTGAACTATGCACACTTAGTTTACTGGATAGTTAATCAGTTTAGGGATTTCATTTTTCTCTTTATCATCCTTTATTGGTATTTACTCTCTTAGAAAGATTGGAAACAACCGAAGTCCTTGTCTATTGACTTTGAAATTGTTCGATTGTGTTGTTCTCTTGGAAACGTACTTGCTTAGTTATCCGTTTTTCTTCCACCTCACTAGAAACCTAGTGAAAGGTAATTTGCACTTGTTTGGTTCCGTTTCTGAACTAAACTGTTTGGCTTCTGTAAGAATGCTTATTGCGTATCGCTCCATAATGCTACTCATCTATGGTCAACCGAATTGAGTCAGTTTTTTTAGTGTAAATGTGATTAAGGAGACAATTTGTTTAAAATCCTTCAAATAAGTTTGCTGTATGAATGATACAGGCTATATTAGTATGCTGTATGGTGAAAGTCAATTGGCGAGACACCCTAATCTTTTAGGTTTCTTGTTTGTTGGCACTGATGAGCAAGGCGTGTGTGCAACTTTCAAGAAACTCGTGTCCCCTTGGTGATTTGAACCTGCATCATTCATTGCTGAAGTCAAAGATTAACCACCACTGACCCACTGTAGGACTGACTAGATTATGTACACGTGTCGGTCATCAGTTGGTAACCGATTTGTGATACAGGTTGATCTGTAGCCACCCCCGTAGTTGGTGCATATGATTTTTCTTCTGGA